ATGCATGTGGGGTGCATGCTTTCATGCTGTTTCCGCCAAATTCTCACTCTGCCATCTGCATGATGCAACTGGAAACGTGATTCATCGGACCACATGCCTTTTTTCCAATGCTCGACTGTCTAATCCTTGTGTTCCTGTGCGAATTGGAGACGTTTTATCTTGGTAACTGCAGACAGCAAAGGTGTTCGAACAGGCCTTCCTTTGGCTGTTTTGCTGATACTCGGCTCCATGGCTCCGAGTGCCAACAATCATCCCACGTTCAAAGGCTGTTAAATCGCGTTGTTTACCCGTATCTTCAGAAAAAAATCAGGTCTACTGTTGTGGTAAACAACCTGCTTCCCTATTTATAATGGTCTGGCCCTCTAGCAACTTTAGCGCAAAATTATAGCTAATTTGCCTACAAACGTCAGGTGGTCATAATAATGTGGCCACTCACTGTATATTCACCCAATATAGGTGCACCTTTATACACACACACACACACACACACACACACACACACACACAGGTCTGGAGGACTTTTAACAGAGAGATTGACAACAATAGTCATAGTAGGGGACTTTAACACCCCTCTGACTTCACTGGACAGATCTTCCAGACAAAAAATTAACAAGGAAACAGAGATTCTAAAGGACATACTGGATCAGATGGATGGATTGTACATGTCTTTTTGTTTGAATATTTGAAAGAGTTAAGTTTTATACACTTTCTGATTTAAAAAATTTTAAATCCTGTTAAAACTTTTATGTATCAAATAGGTGTTTCCCTTTAATAAAAAAAAACGACTAGACATACCTTTCTTCGTTACCCTAGTTTATTGTTCTTATATTTACTAGTGGCTCAGTGCACAAAATTCATACATGGGTAGGGTCCCTAGGCCTGGCCTGTGATCAGGGTCGATCTGTGGAGCAACCAGTGGGGCAATCAGGGGCCCCCTGCTGGCACTGGCCTTGGCCGTCCTGATGCTGCTCGCTTGCCAGCCCTATCCCCCGCCACTGCTGGTTGCCTTACTCTCCAGGAGGTGAGCGGCGGGGCAATTGGGGGGTGGAGCCACCTGTTAACTGTCGCGCCCCCCCCCCCCCCGCCCCGATCGCCCTGCCACCACCCGCCACCGCTGCCCTTTGCCTCCCTCTACTGGGTGACTGGCGTGGCGATCAGGGGAGCCCCTGTTAGCACCTGCTTTGGCTGGCCTGGGGCCTGCGGGCTGGGGTCAGCGCCTGTGTTGAGCATCTGCCCCCTGGTGGTCAGTGTGTGTCATAGCGACTGGTCATTCCACTGGTTGTTCTGCCATTCAGTCGATTTACATATTAGGCTTTTATTTTATAGGATAGCCAGTTGGCATACTTTATGTTCACTTATTTATCACTTGTTTCAATAGGTATGAATTAAAATGTTTATTTCATGAAGGCAGCCTCTTGCTTTATTTTGCTTTATATTTTATCCTACTGTTACCTATTTTTGAAACTCTTTAGATATATGTTGGAGTTTCCTAGTGAAACCCACATGACTTAAAATTTTTTTTTTATATTCATTGTTCTGGGTGAATTCCTCATTAATAGTCTCCATTTCACTAAATGCCTTTTTGTATCTAGTTTTGAGCTCAGCCCATTTAATTGTTTTTATTTATTTAGTGCTTTATATGTTTTCAAGATTTTTTAGATCCACTTATTGTTTTACTTATGGTTTTTTGTTTTAATTTTAGTCACTCTTTTATATCTTTAAAGATCCTTACTTATTTCAAAGTCAATGTGTTTTGTTATTTTCATTTTGTCTAGAGATTGATTTTTTTCAGATTATTGAGTCACTGTTTGCTTGTGTTGTGTGTGTGTGTGTGTGGGTGTAGAGAGTGTGTTTTCTTCATGTATTTTGGATTTTTTGCTCTTATTGTTCTCTTCCTCCTCTTTTACTACTCCTTCTTGTCTAATGCCTTTTTCTCTCTAGAAAATTTATGCTTGCCACTAAATTGTTACCCTCACCTCATTCTTCCCTCCTGAAACAGGATTTCTATTGGTAGTTTGTGGCTCTTAGCCAACAGTGAGAGGATTTGCTCTAATTAGTGCCTGAGCCAAGGGTGTTTTGGCTTAGCTCTTGATTAGGATGCTATATCTGTAAACTTCTGCCATTTTAGACTTTCATATACATAAGATTTAGAGTCAGGCAAGGATGAGTGGACATTTTTTCGGCCCTCTTTTAGGAGTTGGGAGCCCCACCCCACTCTCTGGTTTCAAACAATGAGCCTCGCTATGATTTTACATATTGAGCAGGACAAGTATTTCCTACTATTCCCAGGAGCCAAGCTCTTTTCCACCTTAGACTGCATCATCCACATCCATAGCATTATATTTCTGTTTAGTTTGTGATTTTCAGAGATGTGGCTGTTTCTCCTTAATTTTTTTTTTAAATTCATTGATTTGTAAGAGCGAGGGGAAGGAGGGTTAAGAAATCCTTTTTTTTATAGCTCCATAATATTCCATTGTATAAATATACCACAGATTTTTTATCCACTTATCTTCTGATGGGCCCTTGAGCTATTTCCAGATCTTAGTTATCCTATATAATAAAAGTGTAATATGCTAAGTATCTGGTTGTCTATTCGTCTACTCAACCAATCAAAGCATAATATGCTAATGATATGCTAAGGCCACTCAGCCGCTCACTATGATGCGTACTGACCACCAGGGGGCAGACAGTTGACAGGTTGACCAGTCGCTATGACGTACACTGACCACCAGGGGGCAGACGTTCTGACCAGTAGGTTAGCTTGCTGCTGGAGTCCTGCCGATTGGGACTGAGCAAGACGGGCCAGACATGCCCTGGAGCCCTCCTGCAACCCCTCCCAGTTTGGCCAACCTCTCATGTCTTTCCCCGGCTCCAATTGTGCACCAGTGGGGTCCCTTGGCCTGGCCTGCACCCTCTCGCAATCTGGGACCCCTCGGGCGATGTAGGAGAGCCGGTTTTGGCCCTATCCTGAAGGCCAGGCCGATGGATCTCACTGATGCATGAATTTGTGCACCAGGCCTCTAGTTGTAAATAATTCTTCTATGAACATAGGGATTATTCTTTCTGATTGGTCTTTTAGGATTCTTAGGATATATTCCCAGAAGTGGGATTGCTGGGTCAAATGGCAGTTTCATTTTTAATTTTTTGAGGAAACTCCAAATTGTTTTCCACAGTGATTGCACCAGCTTGCATTCCCAACAGCAGTGACCTAGGGTTCCCTTTTCTCTACATCATCACCAGCACTTGTCATTTGTTGATTTGTTGATAGTAGCCATTCTGGTGTGAGATGATACCTCATTGTTGTTGGTATTGTTGTTTTTTTAAAAAGAGATATTTGTTTTGTTTTTTTAAATATATATTTATTGATTTCAGAGCAGAAGGGAGAGGGAGAGAGAGATAGAAACATCAGTGATGAGAATCATTGATCAGCTGCCTCCTGCACGCCCCTTACTGGGGATTGAGCTCACAACCCTGGCATGTGCCCTTGACTTGAGTTGAACCTGGGACCTTTCAGTCCGCAGGCAGACACTCTATCACTGAGCTAAACCAGCTAGGGCAACCTCATTGTTGTTTTAATTTGCATCTCTCTGATGACTAATGACATTAAACATATTTTTTTAAAAAAATGTCTATTGGCCATTTGTATATCCACTTTGGAGAGGTGTCTATTCGAGTCCTTTGCCTAGTTTTTAAATTGGATTGTCTTCATAGTTTTGAGCTATATGAGTTCTTAAATATTTTGAAAACTAACCCCTTATCAGATGTATCATTGGCAAATATATTCTCCCATACAGTGGGTTCTCTTTACATTGTGCTGGTGGTTTCTTTTGCTTTGCAGAAGCTTTTTAGTTTGGTGTAGTTCCAATTGTTTATTTTTCCCTGTGTTTTTCTTGGTCTAGGATATATGACCTTTTTAATGTATAGATTTGCTGATATTTTGTTGAGCATTTTAGCATCTTTGTTCATCAGAGATATTGGCTTGTAATATTCTTTCTTTGTAGTGTCTTTATCTGGCTTTGAAATTAGAATAATGCTGGCCTTGCAAAAAGAGCTTGGAAGTCTTCCTTCCTCTTGAATTTTTGGATTAGTTTGAGGATAGGTGTTAGTTCTTCTTTGAATGTTTGGTAAAACTCACCTGCTGCGGTATGTGTGGGGATGGTGACCAAGCTCAGGCATACTGATCTGCTCTTCCACCTCTCCCCCAATGCCATCCACTTCAGACTCTCCACAGGGGATTTCAGTCTGTACCTCTTTCCCTCCACAGAAGCCTTGGGTAAGTGCCTGCAAACGAAAACCCTGTGCTTTGGTTTTTTGTTTAAACAAACAGACAACACTGACTCTTCCTGATAGATAGAAGCTCCACTGCCTTTCACAGCTGGATGTTATATGGGCTGCTGTTTTCTGGTGCTATGGGCTGCTGCTTGCCTCCTGTGGGAGCTGGCCCTGCCCTTCTCAGGACTTAATTCCTCCTACCTATCTTGAGGTGGTCTGTGCCCTTCCTTGTTAAAAGTCTCCTCTTCAGCTAATCTTCAGTTGGTAATTCAGGGTGAATGGTCCCCACTTTAGTTTTATTTCCAGTTTGCTTCTGGAAGGAAGTGCAAGAAAGATCCACCTACTCTGCCACTATCTTTGAAATGTCCAATATTTTATTCTTAATATAATTCTCTATATAAAATGTTTGTTAAGATATATTTATATATTATTTTAACTTTATAATACAATGGGTAATTCAATAAAGATGTTGATAATGTTTCAAATATTCTTATTATGTATCTAAATCTGTTACTAAATTATTTAATATGAAGTTGTTTTAGTTGTGAGCAGTTCTAAGTTGTTGTCACTTGCCATATGGTTTCTGACTGGGCTGTCAACCCCAGATACCTTAATTTTTTGTATTTCAAAGTGACACTCATTAATCAGGATGTGAAATTCTAAAGGATCAGCTACCAGTTATGACTAATAAACTCTCAATGTGTATATATATATATTTTTATTTCTAGAGAAAAACAGAACTCTGAAGCTAAAGACAGAAAAGTTTTAGAAATTCTGCAAGTCAAGGATGCTAAAATACAAGAATTGGAACAGGTTGGTGTTACAATAGGAAATACTCTAACCACTATAATTGTTTTAGTAGATCTTCGCATTATTTTAAATTATTATTTTTTGCCATAATGTTCATTAAGAATACCAGGGTCATTATGTTAAACCATTACTATTTTGAAACTACTATAGTTGGATTATTCTTTATAGTTATACTTTTCTTATAGCAGTGATGGCCAACCTATGACACGCGTGTCAGAGGTGACACGCAAACTCATTTTTTTGGTTGATTTTTCTTTGTTAAATGGCATTTGAATATATAAAATAAATATCAAAAATATAACTCTTTGTTTTACTATGGTTGCAAATATCAAAAAATTTCTATATGTGACATGGCACTAGAGTTAAGTTAGGGTTTTTCAAAATGCTGACACGCCGAGCTCAAAAGGTTCGCCATCACTGGCTTATAGCCTCTTATTTGTTTTCTGAGTTAATAGGCTGTGTTATTTATATATTAAAACTCTTAAGATGGTGTTATAGTTTTATAATTGTATCTAGCAGTTATTGTTTTATTGAATTTTGCCTTTTATTTTTAGCAGTTATCATTCACTTCTGAAACTTGTAAATTTTCAGATTGTTTCGTTTGTAGAAAACATCAACAAAAACTGGGAT